CCCCTGATGCTGCCTGGCCTGCTGTGCTCCTCCAGCTCCACACTGTGCCATGTTTTTAGGTTCTCCTCAATGGGTTTGACAGTAGGAAGTGATCCAACTTTAGCAGGCAGCAGGAACCAGGGCTTTATTTCCCTGCTGTCAGCCGATTAAATTGCTGCTAGTGGGAATGCTGCCCCTATGAAAGATGGTGACCTGTCCCCCAGCAGCTCATCATTCTCAGCAGTGCCTCTGCTAGTGTTGGCCAGTGCTGGCATTGCACCTGGTGGATGAAACTGCATTGATAGCATACGTTCTTAAACTCATGTTATGGGGTTTCTGGAGCCTCATGCAGGGTTTGGTGAGGTAGCAAGAGAGCCGCTGAGGGCAGATACTGCTACTGTCACCTCTGAGGATCAAAGAATGCTCGCGAAACAACAGCTTACATAGTTACCCTGATGGACTCATGTGAAGCGGGCCCGTTTAAATGGTAAAATTCCAAGAGAGACAGGAGGTGGCTCTTAATTTAGCCACATGTGGGGCCAGTTGTTCTCCAGGTAGATAACAGGCACACTACCTGTCAGTGCTATTTTGACAACATTTCTGGCTGTTGTCCAGACGGTGATTTCTGCCCATAGGTTTTGATTTTTATTACTTCTGGTACAGATGGGAGGCAAAAGAGGAGACTATCAGTCAGTGTGTATTGTGTGAGAAGGATGATTAGCAACAGAAACAAACTGCAGTTTTACAGAATTTTAACCTTGTAATTTGCTGTACAGAAGTATTAGGAAGCAAATTTAAGACAGTGGTATATAAAGAGATGTGAAGATAGTTGACCAAAAGCTTGTCAAAATAAACAGGCCTTAAATTAAAGTTCAGGTTCTGGTTCAAATTAAATGCTGTGGTTGTAAACATAGTTTAGCCTTAGCAAGTGTTTGGGGTGGAAATGGTGTCTGTGGCTAATGTTACAATCTTGTAAAGATCAATATCAGTCATCAGATGAATTTCCCTGTGACTGCCAGGAAGAACTGCAAGATGAGATTTCATGTTTTGATTTTTTTACTGTAAGACACAAAGCAAAACCAACATAGACTAAACATTACTTAACAGGCAACTAATACACCAAACTAAAGGAAAGGTAATTTTATATTAATCCATTAATGCAATTCTAAAACATCTCACAACTCCTTTTGCTGTGCGTTGCACTTTTGGCTGATGTAGCAAAATATTAAATTAAGCACCAGGTTACTCCCTGATTTCCAGTAAATTCGGGTCAAATCTTCCATTGTCATTCGAAAATTGTTCTTCTCAGCCTGATTATTCTGGAAAGGACTTTCCACAGTGAGGGCCACCTCAGCGACTCCTTGTTCCCTAACTTTCCAAAAGTCTAATCTTGTCTATCTTTTTCACTTTGAATGGAAAACAAGACATTCTACTGGATTGCTAACATAACACATGCTATCCCTGTTCTGGACAGCAGGAATTGTTTTTGTCCTTTGTGTCTATCTCCAAAAAAGCAATTTGACATTTTTGTTTCCATTTCTGGGGATAGACTGGCCACTAATATCCATCACAAACCCACTGACTCCCACAGCTCCCTGGACTAATCATCCTCACACCCCACTTCCCGTAAAGACTCGATCAATTCTCTCAGTTCCTCTGCCTCCGTTGCCTATGTTCAGATGAGGCCAACTTCGACAAGGGAGCGTCCAAAATGTCCACCTTCTTCCTCAACCGAGGATTCCCCACCCCGTTGTCGACCTCAACCAGGTCCGACCCATCTCCTGCACTTCAGCCCTCACCCCTTCTCTTCCCTCCTGCAACAGCGATAGGGTTCCCCTTATCCTCACCTACCATCCCAGCAGCATCCACATCCAGAAGATCATCAGATGCCATTTCCACCACCTCCAGCAAGATGCCACCACCAGACACATATTCCCCTTCCCTCCCTTGTCTGCCTTCCGCAGGGACCGTTCCCTCCGGGACACCCTGGTCCACACTTCCTTCACCCCCAACACCTCCCCACAGCCCTACGGCACCTTACCCTGTAACTGGAGAAGGTGCAACACCTGCCCATTTACCTCCTCCCTCCCCAGTATCCAAGGGCCTAAACATACCTTCCAGGTGAAGCAACACTTCACCTGCGCTTCCCAGAATCTAGTCTACTGCATTCGCTGCTCACAATGTGGTCTCCTCTACACTGGGGAAACGAAGCGTAGACTTGGCGACCGCTTCACAGAACATCTACATTCTGCTTGCAAAAAAGACCCTGAACTACCTGTTGCCTGCCACTTCAATGCACCACCCTGCTCCCTGGCCAACATCTCTGTCTCCGGCTTGCTGCAGTGTTCCAGTGAAGCCCAACGCAAGCTGGAGGAACAACACCTCATTTTCCGCTTGGGGACCCTACAGCCCTCCAGACTCAATATTGAGTTCAATAATTTTAGGGCCTAAAGTCTCCCATGTCCCAGCCCGCCACTCCACGCACCAGGCCTTGTTACCACATAGCCTGCTATTACACACCCCCTGTTGTTAGTCACTAACAGTCCCCATTAACAACTATTCACCCTCCCAGCCTGATCGTTAAGAACTCCTTTGTCTGTCCAACTGTCTTTCTCTCTCTTTGGGCTCTTGTTTACTCCCTAACCCACCCACCTCCCTATTTTCTACATATAAACTGATGTTTTCCCAGCCACCATCAGTTCTGAGGGTCACCGGACCCGAAACGTTAACTCTGTTTTCTCCTTCACAGATGCTGCCAGACCTGCTGAGCTTTTCCAGCAACTTTGTTTCTGTTCCAAAAACAAAGTTTTTGTTTGTCCCTTTTCCATTTTTGAGGTGTGAAAAGTCACTTACTTTTCAGTAAATTGTCAGGTTGGGTTTCTTTCTCTGAGCCAATCAGGTCACAGGGACTTGTCTTTGGATAGAGATTCCATATGATCACTGTCTCCCTATCTAGTACATTCTGTTTCATCTTAAAAGAGGCATTTAAGAGTAACTGGATAAAGTCCCACATTCATAACACTGGAATTGGAATTAATGGTGAGGACTGAAATAAATAAGGAGAAGCTGTTTGCAGTGGCAGAAGGACTGTTAACTGGAAAGTACATCTTTAAGGTGGTGAGATGAGACAAAAATACATATGCAGTGAGTTTTTCTGTTCTGAAATGTACTACCATAAAGAATAGTGGAAGCAGATTCACTAATAACTTTCAAAAGGAAAACGGATAAATACTTGAAGGGTAACATTTGTATGGAAAGAACAGGGCACTGGGACTAAGTGGATAGAATCATAGAATCATACAGCACAAAGTTCTTCACCCATTAAGTCTACACTGCCAAAATTATACTACTGCCTACACCAGTTCCACTTACCCACACTAGGCCTGTAGCCTTGAATGTTGTAACACTTCAAGTGCTCATCCAAGTACTTTTTAAAGATTGTGAATTTTCCTGCCTCAACTACCCTCCCAGGCAGTGCATTCCAGTCCCCACCACCCTCTGGGTGAAAACATTTTTCCTCAAATCCCCTCTCAACCTCTTGCCTTTCACTTTCAATAAAGGTTGGCAGGCTTCCTTCCCAAAAGGACATTAGTGAACCAGATGAGACATTTTTACAACAACCAACAGTGGTTATATGGTTGCTCTTAGGTTAGCTTTCAATTCAAGATTCTTTTCATTAAATTCAAATAGTTTCTTCTGTCCTTTATAATACAATGATTCTTTGCAAACCCAACAAAGCTCTTTATGAATTTGAATTATGTTCAGAAAATCTAGAAATATAGTGAAAATAATCATGATATTACTGAATAGTTGTGAAAAGCAATCTGCTTTCTTGATTATTATGACCTCTGCATTTCTTACTTTAACCTGGGCCATCTGTGACTCCAGTCCCAGTTTCCTCTTAAATACTTTGTGAAGTGACCTAGCAAGTCATGTAGTTGTATCAACCTAATAGAAGCTTCTAATAGAAGGAACAGGCAATAAAGGTCAACCTTGCTAGAAATGCCAACATCCCAAGAATGAGAAATAAAATCACACATGCTTATGCAGTATTTCTTACTCTTTCTTTCACTTGATGTTTATAGGTGAAGATGGTGTGAGCGTGGAAGCTGCAGTGAGGTTTGCAAAGACTGCGTTTTGCTATGAGTACTTGGAAGTATTCGATATCATCATTGCACCACTTCTCAGTTTCTTAAGGGTAATGCTTGTACTGATAAACATGGTGAGCTGTAAACGGAATCACCTGTTTTTCTTTCAAGAGTGGATGTGGTATACATGGATTTAAGTAAGGCGTTTGATAAGGTTCCCCAAGGTAGGCTCATGCAGAAAGTAAGGAGGCATGGGATACGGGGAAATGTGGCAGATTGGATTCAGAATTGGCTGACCCTTAGAAGACAAAGGGTGGTAGTGGATGGTGCTCAGTTACGTGTAGTGTACCACAAGGATCTGTTCTGGGTCCTCTTCTATTTGTGATTTTTGTAAATGATTTGGATGAAGGAGTGGAAAGGTGGATTAGCAAGTTCGCGGACGATACGAAGGTGGGTCATGTTGTGGACAGTGCAGAGGGCTGTTCTAGGTTACAAAGGGACATTGATAGGATGCAGAGCTGGGCTGAGAAGTGGCAGATGGAGTTTAACCCTGAAAAGTGTGAGGTGATTCATTTTGGAAGGACAAACTTGAAGGCAGAATACAGGGTTAACGGAAAGATTCTTGGCAGTGTGGAGGAGCAGAGGGATCTTGGGATTCATGTTCACAGTTCCCTGAAAGCTGCCACCCAGGTGGATAGAGTTGTTAAGAAGGCGTATAGTGTGTTAGCTTTCATTAATAGAGGGATTGAGTTCAAGAGCCGTGAAGTTATGCTCCAGCTATACAAAAGCCTGGTTCAGCCATATCTGGAGTATTGTGTCCAGTTCTGGTCGCCTCATTACAGGAAAGATGTGGTGGCGTTGGAAAAGGTGCAGAGGAGATTTACCAGGATGTTGCCTGGAATGGAGGGAAGGTCTTAGGAGGAAAGGTTGAGAGAGCTAGGGCTTTTGTCTTTAGAACGACGAAGGATGAGTGGTGACTTGATAGAGGTGTACAAAATGATCAGAACAGATAGACAGCCAGAGACTTTTTCCTAGGGTGGAGGTAGCTATTACGAGGGGGCATAGTTTTAAAGTGAGTGGAGGTAGATATAGGGGAGACGTCAGAGGTAGGTTCTTTACTCAGAGAGTGTAGGGGCGTGGAATGCATTGCCGGAGAGGGTAGTGGTGTCGGCCTCATTAGGGGCATTTAAGCGGCTATTAGATAGGCATATGGATGATAGTATAAGGTAGATGTGGAGGTTAGATAGACCTTAGGATTAGGGTAAAAGTTTGGCTCAACATCGTGTGCCGAAGGGCCTGTACTGTGCTATACTGTTCTATGTTCTATGTTCTATTGTACTTTTTCTTCCATTTTTAGAAAAATGAAAATCTGGGCTGGAAGAATTATGAGCTTGATTTGGACCTACTGATTGCTATGGAACCATTTATTTCACCACGCAAACCCAAGCATGGACTTCCTGTTGGGGGAACCTGTTCAATAGGTGAGTCATCTTAGGAGCTTACAACAGAAAAATGCCTACACGTCTTTGGACAACAGAGATTTCAAATAGGCGGGCAAGGTAAATAGTTGGAGGAAGCAAGTGCAGTTGAAGACAGAAAGGAATGTGTTGCTACAGTTTGTTTGCATTTTGTTGATGAATGGCATTTGAGATTTCAAAAACTTGCTGCTGGTTCAAGTAAAGTAGTGTTATTGAATAGGATTTGAATGCTCAATAAACTTGTGGCAATCAGGTCATCATATCATATTTGTCGCATGACACAAAATTTACACAGTACAGTAAACCTTTTATTAACCGGTGGCTATGGGATGAGGAGTGTTCTGGTTGATATTCTGGTTGATCAAGAGGTCCGCATAATCCATGTAAAAACACACACTAAGTAATACAAACATAATGTAGAGAGTATGCACATCAGTGTTTTTCTTTATGTACAGCATAAACCACTTAAATAATAGTGCAACTTTGCCTTCATAAAATTTTATGTCAGAGAGCCTACTCACTCGCACCCTTAACTGACTACTTGGACATCACAGAGATCGCAATAATACAGTAAACTTCCAGTAAGCAAGCCTGCAATGTAGGCTTTCAAAGGGTGGTGTCAATCTGTTAACTGAGGTGTTCTGTTTTGATGGCGTACTCCAGTTTGTTTCAAGAAAACAAATTTCTACAAGAGTTAGTTGTATATTTTATCAGAATTAATATTTTAGGAAACTCAAGGTTTGAAATTATTCAGCACACGTCTATGTGACGGCTTTTGCACGGACTCTTTTTTTGCTTCCACTTTAGTGCCTGCCATTTCCTTACATACCATTTGGACTTCTGGTTGATTCTTGCCTCATTATCAACCCCTGCAATACCCTAATTTACTGCTGTGAAATTCCATTCCTTTCAATTGTTGGTTTTAACTGATGCAGGAAGGATAAGGCTGAATACATCTGGATATTGCTGCACTATTCCAGCTTGCCAAAACTGCACATTTCAGTCTTCACTGACAGCTGCACAACATCCTCCATCACTCACCTGTTTTCTGAGAACTGCCAACTACCGGCTAAACGAAGCAACTCCTGTGGCACTGGATTCCCCAAGAAAATTTCAAGAGCCATGGACCATATCCTTTTGAAGGCTGGCCCTGCTTTCAAGGCACTTCATAGAATAATCCCACAGATCTAAAAGTACAATCAATTAGAGACACCCAGAGGAATCAGCCACTGAGAAATTAATAAAGAATGCCGTTATTCTTGTTTCACTCAGCAAGTGGCCTTGTAACTGAACTGTATTTCAATAAACAAAAACAGAAATTGCTGGAAAGCTAAGCAGGTCTTTCCAAACCTTCCACGTCCTTCTGGTAATGTGGCGACCAAAACTGCACACAGTACTCCAAATGCGGCCTAACAAGGGTTTCATACAGCTGCAACATGGTTTGTGAACTCTTGTACTCTGTACCCCAGCCGATGAAGGCAAGCACGCCATATGTCTTCTTAATCACCTAAGCCACCTGTCTTGCCACTTCTAGGGAACTGCGGATTCCTAATCCAAGAGCAAAATGGCTGAATCAAACTCCACCACCTATGTGTTGGTCCAAAGCTAGAGACTTCCAGATCTCTCAATCCTGTCACCATCACCTCTTGCTGATTGCCACAGGGCTTGTGTTGTGTATGGGGAGAAGGATGGGCATTGAATTCCTTCAGATAGACACCTTATGCTGGACATCTTTCCATGTCAGAATGCTGTTGCACACCAGCAGGCCACAGAAAATAGACCCAATTACAGTGGCAAGGGAACCTCAATGACTGGGGATTTCCCCAGTGCTGCAGTCTCCATCCATCATTGCAGCCATTGCTATCACAAAAATACCTCCTGCCTGGATCGCTGTTTAGGACTTTTTTCGATTTGCGCCTTGCCTGGTTCCTCCCTTCTGACCTTACTGTCGTGGGCGACCCTGCAGGAGTTGAGAACTCCCAATGGCATCGTTCTTGATCACTGGAACACTCAGTTCTCCCCCAACACAGCATGGTGGCAATTCACAGCAAGGGTTTCTGGGAGTCGGTTAGTTCAGTTGGCTGGACAGCTGGTTTGCAATGCAGAATGATGCCAACAGCATGGTTTCAGTTCCCACACTGATTGAGGTTACCGACAACGTCTCTCTTTCTTAATCTCTCCTATTGGCTGAGGCTAGACCACCACCAGTCATGTCTCTCTGATGAATTATCAGACCTGTGGTCTGGTAGGTCTATGGTGTGGATTGCCACCTATCTGCAGTGGAGAGGCTCGCATGTTCCTTTGATCCTGAGATGGATGCTTTTAAGAGTTCTCAACTCCTGGCGGGCCATCCATGATAGTTTGGAAGCACATGGCTTTCATTTAGTCTTACCTCCTAACAGAACAAAATCCTTCTGAGAAGCCCACTATGAAGTTACCCCAGTGAAGGAACTGTCAGATCTCCTTCATAGTCACTATGCATGATCCGGAGAGGGAAACAATCTAATACCTCAATCAGGAAGGCAGACAAGATCATCAAAGTACTTGGTGAATAATTTCTGTTCCATTACCTGTGTCTCTGCAGAAACTCATGTTGACAACTGAAACCACAAGCATATAGCAGGGTCCTTTTTGTTGCTGTTTCAATGATATGAAATTCATCACTTCAGGAGAGCAAACGGACTGTTGCTGAACAATAGTTAATAGTAGATGAATCTGCTTCTTACAGGAGGAACACTTCAACCCACTGGGGCCACCATCTTATGTGATGATCTTGTGATACTCGCCGAAGCAGTGTTTGCATATACTTGTACTCCTCCAGAGGTATGTGTAAAGATTTTTACAACAAAAATTAGGACTTTGTTGCATCAATTATTCACTTTGCTGCAATATTTGAAATCTTAAAATGCTACTTTAGTTTTGCAACAGGGAACTAAAAAGAATTCAAATCTATAATCCAGAAAGTGATGGAATTAGTCAGCAGGTCTGGTAGCATCCCTGTAGAGAGATGCAGAGTTAAGGTGAAATTTAATAGTCATGCTGATGGACTTGTCCAGTAGAGCTGATGGCATCCTTGCAGGAACCATCTCCCAAAGCCCTGACTGGATTTAATCCCAATCAGGCAGTTTTCTGGCTTCAGGTGAGGTTTCCCAGGACTTGCAAAGGGCATTCCCCACTGGAATTTCTCCTGCAGGGCAGATGTTCCACCCCCAAGAAGTGCTGACTGGCCAGAGGCTGACAGTTCTCCAATATTGGCAATGCCAATGATAGTGGAGGCCACTGCTGGTACTGCAGAAGGTGCAAGTCAGAAGTTTGTCCCTGGAGCCTCTATAACACAAGTAAGGGGACGGGGGTTGGAGGGAGTAGGGAGTAGAATTGCAGAGGCCAATGAGGGATGCCTCAGGGAGAGGAGGACAGGAAAAGGTTTGTCAGTATATAGAGGTAATTCTTCTTGTGGGTCCCTTTCCACTAGCATGTCACTCTGATCAAACCTTGCCTCTCCAAGTGGAGATTCATTGTCTCCTTCAGAATTATCTCCATTAGTTTGTTTACCACTGATGTGAAACTCACTTGCCTGTAATTCCCTGGTTTATACTACCTTTCTTGAAAAATGGAACCTCCTCTCCTCTGGCACGTCAATGAGGAATATGTTTCAGAATGCCTGTAATTTCATCACTTTTCTCCCACAGCAGCTTGGTATACAACTCATCCAGACTAGCTAGGAATCTACCTTTAAGCCTGCCAAAGCCTGCATATGACATAGTACATAGCCCAGTACAGCACAGGAACAGGCCCCTTGACTCACCATGTCTGCTCTGATTATGATGCCATTCTAAACTAATTCCATCTGTCTGCACATGGTCCATATACTTCTATTCCCTATCTGTTCAAATGTCTGTCTGAATGTCTCTTAATTGTCATCGTATCTGCTTTTACCACCTTCCCTGGCAGCACATTCCAGGCACCTACCAACCTTTGTGTAAAAAAAAACTTTCCTCTTACCTTAAACCTATTTAGTATTTGACATTTCCACCCTGGGAAAAAGACTCCAACTATCCAGCCTATTCATACCTCTGATAATTTTATATACTTCTATCAGGATTCCCTTCACCCTCTGACAATCAAGTGATACAATCCAGCCTCCAATACCTCCTCACTCCCTATATCAATCTCCTGAAGAACGTCACTGTTGCTCATCCCAAATTCTGTACCTACATCCTCCTTCTCCTGAGTGAAGACAGAAGTGAAGTGCTCGTTTAACACCCTACCACTGTCCACTGATTCCGCGCACAGATTGCCTCTTGATCCCTGATGGGCTGTACTGTTTCCCTTGTTATCCTCTTCCTCTTAATATTCTTATAGAATATTTTCAAATTCCCCCTAAGTTTACCGACCAGAGTTTTCTCTTGATCCCTCTTTGGTCCCCTAATTGCTTTCTTAAGCTCCCCGCCTCACTTTCAAAACACCACTAGGGCCTCTGTTGATTTGCTCCCTTTGTACCTGCTAAATGTCTCTTTTTTACTTCTTATCCAGTCCTGAATATTCCTAGACATCAGGGCTCTCTGGGCTTGTTGTCCTTATATTTCACCTGAAAGGGAAAATGTTGCGCCTGTCCTCTCATTAATTCCTTTTTGAAAGCCTCCCATTGTTCTGTTATAGATTTTCCTGTAAATAGCTGTTCCCAGCCTACTTTGGCCAGATCCCACCTTATTTTAATTAAATCTGCCTTCCCACAATCCAAAGTCTTTAATTTCAGACTATCTTTTTCCTTTTCTATAACAAACGTAAATCATATTCTGTTGTGGTTGCTATCACTTAAATGCTCCTCTCCTGCTACCTCAACCACCAGCTTTGTTCCCCAGAATTAGGATGAGCAGTGCACTGTCGCACATTGGGTCTTCTACATGTTGGCATAGAAAGCTCTCCTGAACACATTGCAAAAAAGTCCACCTTGTCTAAACCCTTTACACTATGACTATCCCAATTAATGCTGGAGAACTTGAAATCCCCTGAAGTAATTACCCTATCGCAATATTATTAGTTTTAAATATCCCAGTGAATTGTCTACATATCTGCTCCTCTAATGCTGGCTAACTGTTTGGGGGCCTTAATATACTCCCAGCAATGTGTCTGCTCCCTTTTTATTTCTAAGTTCTACCTTTAAAGCCTCATTTGAAGACCCTTTCAAGGTATTGCCCCTCCCAACTGCAGTAACTGACTCCTTAATTAATAATGCAACACCATGTCCTCTTTTACACCCCACCCTGTTTCACCTAAAGATCCTATACCCTGGAATGTTGAGTTGCCAATCCTGCCCCTCCCTCAACCACATCTTTGTGATGGCAACACTAGTACAATTTGACACAGCCTTCAGAAGAGACTCAAGTTCCAAGACTTGGCACTGAAGCTGTTTGAACTGGTGGCATTTCCCACACACTAACCCACGCGACTAGAAGCATCTAGGAATTTACATAAGCTACCAATAGCACTACAGTCTAGCTTGGGCACTGTACCACATTCTGTTAAATTTAATAAACCTTTGTTTCAAACTACCGGAGACCCCATATGCAAAACGCTAAAAACACTATGAAAACAGTTTAAAGACAGTATGTATGTATAAAAAGTATAAACCACAGTAGAATGTTATAAAATAATAAATAATAGTAGAAAATTCAGAAAAGGTAGAAAAGAGAAATACTCACCTACCAAGCACTTGGCTGTGATGTCACACTGGCATGTTCACTTAATGTCACAGGACTGCTGTGGCTTATCTCCCAGCTCCTTTCTCCGTAGTGGAGCAAGAACCAATTCCTACAGGGCAAAAGCAAATGCAAACAAGCAAATAAACACCTCTTCCCCACTTACCTAACTCCTCACTGACCAAACTCCCGAGATTTGCACTCGATCTTCAACTGTGTTCATTTACAGAGTTGTTCATAAAACACTTAAAATTTACACGTAGCTGGTCTGTTTCTACAGAACTGGTTTAGTCCAGTTAGCTCATTAGCTATTGAGCTTACACAGTAGAGTATGTTGTCACCCTGCCTAAGCATAAGATTCAATTAACAAAAAAAGAAACTCACCACTTAAACACTACTTTCCAAATGCTTTTAATGATACAGTACATTAGAGTTAAATATAAAACTTTAGTTCAAAAGTCTAAAATTTACACTGTACCTCCCCACTGACCGAGTCCCAGAGACTTGCACTCAATCTATATCTGTAATCGTTTGCCCATCTTGTTGGATCTGTTGTGAAGCAGTGTATTTTCAGAAAGTTTATTGCATACCTCTGCAATAAGATTTTCAGACTACTGAACGAAGAGAACATGTGGTGGCCATTGTCACAGCCATGGATCTTTATGCCATTGGATCCTTTCATAATCAACTACATTGGGTAGCAGGGAATTCATCCGGTCTATGATGATCAATGTCTTCTCTGCCAAGGCAGAAAAAAAGCATGATCAACCACAACCAACTCTGTGTCCAGTTGATTCACAAACCTCTCCATTGCAGATCTTTTCTGGCAGTCACTTGATCTTACAGCAAAGCTGCAGAACCAGCTACCATGGACTGTTGTCACAGTCTGGCTGCAGTTTCATGGAAGGTGACTACACTCTCAAGGTAGTTGCTATGTGCACTCTCACTGTGGACTCAATGTGGAATCCTCTGGTCTCAATAATAGTGATGCAGCTACTTGATTTATTCTCATTTGGTTTGAATTTTTGTTGTCATATGTACCTAAGTACAGTGAAAAGTTTTGTTTTGCATACAGTACAGGGAAATCATAACATATAAGGACATAGAGATAATAGGGTGATTGAACAGAGTGAGGAATAAAAAGTTATAGCTGCCCATGAGATGTACAAAAGTAAGATCAACATTTGATTTGAAATTTGAGAGGTCCATTCAGCAGTCTATGGTCAGGCTTATATAAAGGTGAGGATATTTCATGAGGCATCAGGAAAAGTAGGCATACTCTCAATCATCTGTGTTGGCAGCAATTCTTCCACAGTTCTCCAGTAAGAAATATGAGCAGGGAATGTTTCAGGAGGTTGCCAAACAATGAGTTGTAAAACCCAGTTTAGTGAATGTTGATCCAATTTTTCCACATTAACCTTTCAGCAGTAAAGCATTGTCATAGAGCAGAAGACCCAATTAGAAATTCTTTGATGAAAGCTGATACCATGCCTGGGATTCAAAATGAATATTTTGCCTTGGGGTTTATCAAGACAGAAGAGTTTGCCAAAGGTGTGGTAAACCAAGAAATTGTTGGGCTACTGGAAGAGATAAATAAAAGGCAAAGGGGAGGTACTGGAGACCAGGGGTACTTAAATTGCATGAGTCACCCGCTCCAAATGAGATGCATGCTAGGTTACTGGGGAAAGTATTAGTAGAAATTGTGGAGATACCACACTCTTCCAATTCTCCTTAGATATGTGTGGTGGCGAAAACTATGTGATTGGGAATTTCACACTCTTGTTCAAAAAAAAAGATAAATCTGATAATTACTGACCATTCAGTATAACATAATTAGTTGTAAAACCTGTAGAAACCCGCATAAGAAAATCAACATCCACTTGGACAAATGCAGACAAATAAAGGAGATTAAGCACAGATTTTATCAAGTAAACTCGTGCTTGATTCGCTTGCTTGAGATGTTTTGATGAAACAAGAAGAAGGATAAGGGGAGTGCAGTTTATGTTATGTACATGAACTTTGATGAGGACCTGGGTAAATCAACATAGAGAAAATGCTGATGCTTAACCATGATCCATTGATTGCTGTGCCAGAGAGCTTCTTATAGCTCTCAAGGAGATTGGAGCAGTCTGGCTTGGCAGAGGGTTTTGTACAGAGCTTGATCTTTCCAAAGCCTTTGCTTCAATTCACTGTTGTGCTGCAGATTCAGAAGCAGTACAACTGTAACTGATATTGAGGCTGCACTTTTGTGCAGACAGATCGTCTCATCAAATCTCTTTTCTCCTTGTGTGGTTGCAGCAATACTCCCTGCAAATCCAGGAACTCGCACTCCAGAGTGCTTCCAGAAACTTAGCAAAAGTAGTTCACTTCTCCTCTAAATTGGTGCTTGACTTTTTAAGTAACTATATTACTTAGTTGCAAAAGTGCATGGCCCCTTTTGCAATTAAGTGCTTTGTTGAGAGATTTGCAAATTTTTTTAATGGATCTGTTTGGCCCATATTTGGTTATTCGTATTGTGTCAACTAATAGGGCTGCATGATATTAGACTAGTGTTGCTTCTAGTATTTGCAGGGAATGCCTTGTTAATCACCTCTGAAAGATGGTGTACCATGAAGACTGTGCTGGCAACAGTTGGTGGCATGGCATGCATCCTGAGAAAGCCACTTTACATTATTAGATAATTATGTCATTCAGGAGTCTCAAGCAAAATCATGACATATGATGGTGAGAGGAAACTTGAAATTCTGGATGAAAACTCAGCCTACTAAATAGCTCAATGTATTTCTAAAATACGAAGAGTTGTGTAAATATAGTGGCATAACATTTGAAATGTCAGAACACAGTGTAATTCTTGATGACGCATTCAGGTTAGCAGTGTGGTCTAACAGTGTTCCAGGTGCAGATTAAGATAGTCTGGCAATGTCTAGGAAAGAAAAGAGATTTCCCTTGGCAAAGACGAGTAGCAAAGGATTGGCTTGGCCTCATAGCATGAGGAATGAGTCCTGTAAATTGGGAGGTGTAAATTGGCTGTTCATTGTAAATTCAAAATAATCTGCCAAACCAATGAAAATACACAGTCATTAGAAAAAAACATTTTGTTAAAAGTAATCTTCTAAGATAAATCAGTTATGTTGAATCACAGAATCCAACCCATGGTGCTTAGTGTTCTGTTACCTGTATCAATCTCCTGCCATTTCCCCCACATTCCTGCACACCATTTTTATCCAAAGAACTCTTGAATGCCTCACTTGAACATGCCTGGACCACATTTCCAGGCAGTGCATTCCATATCCTAACTACTCACTGTGTGGAAAAAGTTCTTTCTCACATCACCCTTGCTTTATTTGCATGTTGCTTTATACCTAGTCCCTCTTATTCTTTCACCTTTTACGAGCTTCTCCCTATGTACACTATCCAGCCAGCTTATGATTTGAAAACTTCTGTCTACTGTCCTCTAAGCCTTCTTCTGTCCAGGAAAACAGTTCCAACTTCTTCAATCTATCCTCATAACTGAAATTTCCTGTTCCTAGGACCATTTTTGTAAATCACTTCTGACTCTCTCCAACACATTTGTATTTTCAATGCAATTGAAAATTTTTATTTTCATTTCCAGGGCCCCATTCCAGATGTTGATATGGCTGTGGATGCAGTTCTTTTTCTGTGGCAGAAGTGCAAGACAGTTCTGCAGAGAGGCAACTTTGGGGTTACTGGTTCGACAAAATACCTAAAGAAGCTGGATAACCTTGGGAAGGTACGAGCATTCGTTAACTTTCAGATTGAACGTATAGCTCATGACAAATGCAAGACATTGTGAATGCAGGAAATCTGTAATAAAAACAGAAAACGCTGGAAGCACTCAGTAGATTAGGTAGAATGTTAGATAAAGAAACAGGGTTTACATTCCATCAGAAATGGAATCTGTTTGAGATAAATTATTTAACTGTAAGTACAGTGGCATGGACAAGTGGAGTTGGCTGGGTTGGTGAGTGGAGGTCGGATTTGTGGATTGGGTGGATGAGGTGAGTGCTAGGTTATGGTGGTGGGTAGGGTATGGGAGGCAGAGATAATTAATGACAAAAGGAACAATGGTGCAAGTGAATGATAATGGCATAAGTCAAGTACTAAAGGAATGAACAAGTAGAAGGATCTGTCCCAAATTGCAGCAAACTATCAAAGAGGGAGTTGGGCTTGAGAATTCTGGCAAAGAGCAGAAGACTCCCATAGTGCTGGAGCAAGAAGAGTGTGTACGAATAGTGGAGCTCCACACCAAGCACAACCCTAGTCTTTCTCTTGATAAATATCTCCATTTCAAGGGGATATTTGAAATCATGTATTTTTCTCTCCACAGATGCTGCCAGATCTGCTGAGTTTCTTCAGCATTTTGTATTTTTAAATTTCTAATCAATGTTTCCAATAATTTTTTCTTCTTTGCGGTCCTCCAAGGTCCATGCGCAATAGGAACCTCCGGATCAGCACTCCGATCACCATGCATGACCCTGGAGCAGCCATGCAAATTATATTACCTGTGTTCATCTAAATTGTTTATTGTTGATGTCAGTAAGAAATGCAATAACAACTGTGCAAATAACTCCAAATGTATCACAGCACATATCACCATTGACCAGACAGAAAATACCTTTGTAGTTATATTTGACTCAGTAAAGCAATGTACTTAGCTTTGAGGAGGATATATTGCATTGATTTATTTATCTGCATGTTGTGTCACTCTGAGTACATTCAGAAAGAGTGGGCTGAATTAGAGAAGTGAGTTCAGAGGCGGGGGGATGTGAAATGGGTTTGTTGAGTGATGGGTAGGGGGGTGGTGTGGAAAGAGATCCAAATGCTTTTCCAACTCCAGAAAAATATGGGGCAGGGAAGTTTGCAGGTAACAAAGAGTTGTACACAGTTTGGTTTGTTCCTCCACTCTGAGACCAGGATAAAGGAAGCTCTATGATAGGGTGGAAGACAGGATCGAGAGGATAAAAGAAAGTATAGTCTTCCAGAATTAATGGAGATGGTGGAAGAACAGGTAAAAGAAATATGTACTGAAAACAGATGTGCTACTTTGTGAAAGTGGAACTCAGAGAAACATGCAAGGATCAAGAAACAAAATAGGGTCCAGAGTTTACAGTCTGAAATTATTGAACCCAGGGTTAGGTCTGGAAGACTGTAATACACAGGAAAGATGAGGTGCTGTTTCTCAAGCTTGTGTTGAACTTCACCAGAACAGTGCAGCATGCTGATGACAGAGTTCAGCGTGAAAGTGAGGTGGCAGGACACAGGAAGGTCAGGAGCATGTTTGTGGGCTGAATGGAGATGTTCTACCCAATTTGCATTTGGCCTCACCCAATGTGGAAGAGATGAGAGGTCATCGAGCTTTGTCTGTTTGTGTTTCCTCAAATACTCTCTGGCCTGCTGGGCATTTCTAGCATTTTCTGTTTTTATTTCAGATTTGCAGTATCTGTAGTATTCTGCTTTTCAGATAGTGAATGTTCTTGTCCTCTCTAGCTCTTTCTATTAGTTATTTTGCTGAGGATGTCTGTAACAATACTTTCCAACCTTTTGGACAAGTGTAATTACCTTTCTGTGGTTTTCTGTACTTTTTCATAAGGTTGACATCAATGCATTTATCTTGTTTCTTTCAGTGGATGCATATCCTGTCCATACTTCAAGAAGTGACTATTTGGTGCAACTTAGGAGATGTTGACCCTGTACTGATGGTAGATATTACACTGTACTCAGCAGGGTTGCTTGAAACCCTGGCTGACGCCAGTGTGAAATCCAAGAGAAAGCCAGGTATGATCTTTAATCATTGGTCACAAATAGATGATGGAAAGTTAGCTATTTTATTGTTGACAATGTGTGTTTACGTACAGTTGCAAATTTTATAGCAATACACATAATAGCAGTCAGAACAAAAAAGGAGGAATAAATACTTGCATTTATGTAGAGGCTTTCACAGTCAGGAGGTCACAAAACATTTTACAGCCAATCATTTTGAAATGTGGTCTGTATTATAGAAACAACCATCGTCGCTTTTTGCATAGCTGTATTCCACAGAGAACAAAATAATAACCAGACAATTTAACGCTGCTAGCTATTGGATAAATGTTGGCTAGGACACCTAGGAGAACTCTTCTAAAGGTACATGGTTTATGTCTTTTTTTGGTAAATGAACTGGATTTTGTGGTCAGCGGGAACAAAACAGAATTTTGCATTTGCCTTTCTGACAGCTTTACAAAAAGATAAGTAACCAAACAGCTTAAATCCACATTGAGACACGCAGGTTGCTAGTTCCTAATGCGTTGAAAACCTGCCTAGGTTACTTTGTTCAAAGTTTAAAAATGAAGATTGAAACAGAAAGCTTCCCTCCTGTTCTCACCCCCTCACACTCCTCTTGTTCTCTATGCCCTATCAATGCTGATCTATTCCTCTACACCCAGCACTTTAGCGTTTCATTACGTTTTACAAACCAATGCCCCCGCACCCAAACAATGGCCCGTAATGCCTCTGTGACAACCTGTGCTCCTGCATCCAACCAGTGACCCTATACATCCTGTCCCATTATATTCCCATTGCCTATGGCCTCTGTGACTCATCTTCCCCACCATCATCACGATGGCCCTTTACGCCCTATTCCACCTCCCTGTCAGCTTATAGCACCAGCCACCACCACCCCCTCCTCCGCCCCCGCACCCCCACCCCCCCAACCCCAATCTGTGCCCAACTGCCTTTTGGCTTTCCCTTTGTATGCCAACTCATGTAATATCTACAATGGGCATTACTCAGGAAACATCATGACAGAAAATATTGTTATCAGTCTATTGTCAATGTCCCCAATGAAAAAAAAGCACACTCTCATTGAAACAAAACAAACATCCAACATACTAAATTGCTTCAAAAATCCCTAGGAAAATAAACATTTCACTTAAGTGTTCAGTGACTTATATGAACTAACATTTCACTTAATACCTTATTTAAACAAATATCTGACTCAAGTACTTCATCTTTCATGTAAATAACATTTCCATTCTATATGTAGGTGAAGCTGTCCATCAATAGGCACACTGTTATGAAAAGGATGTCGGAGATAGCAAGAACTTCACATGCTGGAGTCAGAGTCAATACAGTGTGGAGCTGGAGGAACATAGCAGGTCAGGCAGCATCAGAGGAGCAGGAGAGTCAACGTTTTGTGTCGGGACCCTTCATCAGAACTAAGTAGGGGAAGGGAGCTGGGAAATAAATAGAGGGAGGGGGTGGGACTGGGGGAAGGTAGGTGGGATGGCAATAGATGGATGCAGCTGGGGAGTAGTAGGGATTGGTCAGTGGGATGGGTGGGGTGGATAGGTGGGAAGGAGATGGACAGGTAGTGTCAGGTCAAGCATGTGGGGATGAGAGGGAGGGTTGGACATGGGATGAGGAGATTTTGAAACTGGTGAATTCACCAAAAATGTTCAGGCCATCAGGTTGTAGGCTCCTGAGGTGGAATATGAGATGTTGCTCCTCCAGTTTGCGTGTGGCGTCATTGTGGCACTGGAAGAGGCCCAGGATAGACATATCACCAAGGGGGTGGGAGGGGTAGTTAAAATGGTGAGCGACCACAGGTGTTGTTGATTATAGCGTACAGAGCACAGGTGCTCTTTGAATCTGGTTTTGGTCTCACCGATGTAGAGGAGGTTTTCTCTGTGGATCCTTAGCTCCACACTCACAGCCATGCACTGGCATCTTCTGGCACTACAGTCAGCCCTACCCCAACTCAGAGCCTCTCTCTCCCAGGCCTGCAAGGGACCTCTACTGTTTTTCATTCTACGCAGGATCCACACTCTTAACCAACACTTTTTCTCCATCCTATTGGACATCAAGGGCCATAATTACACCAAACTTGCTCCTGCTTACCTCCAAACACAGACCTCCCCCACCACCCTGGACCCAACCCTATCCAGGACCTCTTTCTTAATTTGCCCAGTGCCATTAACCATGGGTCACCTTGGCCTCTCCTGCTGATGCTGCTGACTATGTTACTTCCGCCGCTGACGTTGACTATGTCACGGCTACTGCCACCGCTGCCGTCACTGCCGCTGCTGACATCGATAACATCACTTCCAGTGGCACCTACGTTACCAGCCCCATACCCACTCCCAAGACAGTCTCCAACCACACTCCCAGCTCCAGCTCTAAACCTAGCCCCAGCCCCAAGCCCTGTTGGGTATTCACCATACCCCCAGGCCTCCCCCTCAGCAAAGGACTCACCTTCGTTCCCCTGCGCCCACACATTAATGAATTCTGTATATGTCTGGATGTTGAAATCTTTCTCTGCTGCCTCTGCCTCCGCGCCTATTTCATTGACCGGGAGTATAACCCACCCTGTGCCGAACCCTTCTCCTGCCTCCAACAAACCCTATCCTACTGGACACCACTGCACAGCCTCGTATCCTACCCTCGACCTCTTCACCTCTAACTGCCGTCATGACATCGATTGCCTCAATCTGTCTACCCCTCTCACTCACTCTAAACTCTCTCCCACGGAACATGCAGCCGTCTGGTCCCTACACTTCGACCCCAGCCTCACCATCAAACCTGCAGATAAGTTGGGGGGAGCACAGTAGTGTATAGCAGAGGCCAGGCACCAACTCTCTGACACATCTTCTTACCGCTCCCTCGATTATGACCCCACCCCTGACTACCAAACCATCATCTCTCAGACCAATCATAACATCACCTCAGAAGACCTCCCACCCACAGCCTCCAATCTCATCATTCCCTAATCCCAAACTGCCCGGTTCTAGCTCCTTCCCAAAACCCACAAACCTGACTGCCCTGGTCAACCCATTGTCTCTGCCTGCAGCTGCCCCACTGAATTCATCTCCTTTTACCTTGACTCTGTCTTTTCCCCGCAGACCAGGAACTCCCCGTCTACTCCGCTCATGCCCTCCACTTCCTCCAAGACTTTCAATTCCCCAGCCCCCAACACCTCATCTTCACCATGGACATCCAGTCCCCGTACACATCTCCCCCACTCAGACGGCCTAAAAACCCTCTGCTTCCTCCTCTCCCGCAGGCCCAACCAGTCCCCCTCGGCCGACGCCTTCATCCGCTTAACGGAACTTGTCCTTACCCTCAACAACTTTTCCTTTTACTCCTCCCACTTCCTACAAACTAAACGGGTGGCTATGGGCTCCCGTATGGGTCCGAGCTATGCCTGCCTCTTCGTAGGATGCTTGGAACAGTCCCTCTTCTGCTGTTACACTGGCATCAGCCCTCACTTCTTCACCTGCTACATCGATGACTGTACTGGTACTGTCTCATGCTCCCATGAGGAGCTTGAACAGTTCATCAACTTTACCAACACCTTTCACCCCAACATCAAATTTATCCGGACCATCTCTGATACCACCCTCCCCTTCCTGGACCTCTCCATCTCCATATCCGGCAACCGACTGCTATAGCTGAGGAAGGGTCACTGGACCCGAAACGTTAATTCTGATTTTTTCTCCACAGATGCTGCTAGACCTGCTGAGCTTTTCCAGCAACCTCTGTTTTTGTTTCTGATTTACAGCATCTGCAGTTCTTTTGGTTTTTATTTAGTATTTAACTCACTGCCACATCTCTTCTAGGCATGCTCACCTTGAAGATGTTCTGCTCCTCTCTCCGATGAGATTTCCATTCCAATCTTTCTTCTTGCCCACTGATATTAATTTCACTGTCACTCCTGGTGTTTGACTGAGTATTTGCTAAAACTCATTTCCACAGCCATATCACATTCGTCAGTGACTGCCTCCAGTTCTGAGGAAGGGTCACTGGACCCGAAACGGTAACTCTGATATTTTCTCCATAGTTGTTGCCAGACCTGCTGAGCTTTTCCAGCAACTTCTGTTTTTGACTCCTATAGCTACCTTGACTACACCTCCTCTCACCCATCCTCCTGCAAGAATGTGATCCCTTACACCCAATTCCTCTGCCTCCACCGCATCTGCTCCCAAGATCACACATCCCAAATGTCCTCCTATTTCAAGGACTGGAACTTCCGCACTCCGGTGATCGAAAATGCCCTCAACCGCATCTCTTGCATTTCCCGCACTTCTGCCCTGAAACCCGCTCCCCCCAACAAAAATAAAGACAGAGTCCCCCTGGTTCTCACCACACACTTCATCAACACCCGCATCCAGTGCGTCATTCTCCGCCACTTCCACCACCTACAATCCGACCCCACTACCGAAGAGATATTTCCCTCCCCACCCCTATCTGTCTTTTGTAGTGACCGCTCACTCTGGGTCACTCTGTGACCCCCTTGTCTCTCCGCACTCCCCACTAACCCCACCACACTCAGCACCAGTCCCAGAAACTGCAGGAGGTGCTACACCTGCCCCTACACCTCCCCTCTCACCTCATCCAAGTCCCAAGACAAACTTTCTGTCTCCAACAGGGGTTCAACTGTACACCCTCCAACCTGGTCTACTGTTCCCGTTGCTCCCAATGTGGCTTCCTTTATATTGGTGAGACTCAGTGACCGATTCACAGAGCATCTGCGCTCTGTACGCTATAATCAACCACACCTTCCAGTTGCTGACTATTTTAACTCCCCCTCCCACTCCCTGGGTGACATGTCCATCCTGGGCCTTCTCCAGTGCCACAATGACACCGCCGCAAACTGGAGGAGCAACACCTCATATTCCGCTTTGGGAGCCTACAGTCCGATAGCCTGAACATAGAATTCACCCGTTTCAAAATCTCCCCATCTCCAACCTCATCCCATGTCCAACGCTCCCTCTCATCCCCACCTCCTTGAGCTGACACAA